CTTAAGTTTGAATTTGCATATGAGTAATTTATGTTCTGTTCCACAGTCTGCCCCTGGCCTTGTTTTCTCTGATGATATGGAGCTTTTCCACCGTCTCATTCTGCAGATGGTGTCACTTTGATTTCTATGTATTCCATCTGGTGTGGTCCATGTGTATAGTCGTCTCTTATGCTTTCTAAAGTAGGTATTTGTAATGAAGAAATCATTGGTTTTGCAGAATTCTTTCATGTGTTCTCCAGCATCATTTCTATCACCCATACCATATTTTCCAACTAGTGATCCTTCCTCTTTGCTGCCAACCTTGAAATTGTCAAAAATAAATGAATGCATAAATATCGATGTCTTAGGCATTAGTGAGCTGAAATGTACTTGTATTGGCCATTTTGAATCTGACAACCACATGGTTTACTATGCCGGGAATGACAAATTGAAACATATCCATATCAGTCAAAAAGAACATATCCATATCAGTCATGAAGATATCAACATATCCTATCACAACGCTGTTTGTGATAGGATAATATCCCTGTGCCTACAGGGAATCCCAGTTAATACCACTATTTTTCAAATTTACACACCAACCACAAAAGCCAGTGAGCATGAAATAGAAGAATTCTACCAGCTTCTTCAATCTGAAATTGATCAAACATGCAATCAAGATGTATTGATCATTACTGGTGATTGGAATGCAAAGGTGGAGCAAAGAGTAAGGATCAGTAGTTGGGAAAATCTCACCTGGAACTCACTTAAAATGTCTTATTTCTATCCTTCTGCTACAGTTAAAATAAGTAAGTAAATAAGTAAATAAATAAAGTCTTTCCATTTCCAAAGCTTACTTTCTGAGGTGACGGATTATAATATTTAAAATAGTGTGATGCTATTTTTCATTGTTTTTTTTTTTAAACTTCCATTTATCAAATGAGCCTTCACTTAATTTCCTTATTGCTCTGTAGCATCATTATTTCTGCCAATGTAGTATTTAATATTAAATATTTGTAAAGAGTCTTTGAACACTTTGTCTTCAAGCACTGATAAAGCTGGATAAGGATGATATAGATAAAGAAACCAAGGCCCAGAGAAAGTTATATGACTTACTGAAGGTCATAAACTTGGTTGAAGGTGTTTTGGGACTAAATACAAGATTTCCTTGTTCTTCGGGACTGGTTGGGTAGCTTTGTGCCCTTGAGTCACTTCTGACTTACAGAGACCCTGTTCAGGGTTTTCAAAACTGTAAATCTTTACTGGCGCAGAAAGCTTCATCTGTCTCCCTGGGAATACCTGATGGACCTGACCTGCTGACCTGTGGGTAACAGCCCAGTGTGTAACCCACTACACCATCAAGACTCCTTTGCTCCTAGTAGAGCTCCATGATTATTATGCAGTAAAGATTTTTTTTTGTATGTATATATAGTTTCTTTAAGAATAATTTTATATATACATCAATGAGATGCTTTAGCATATATGTAATTTAAGACTAATTCTAGTAACAGTAAATCTGGATAAAAGCTTCTGAGTCATGCTATGTTAAAAAAACACCACCACCACAAATCTGTTTTTCTGATATGAAGTTATATGTATACTGGATTTTGATGCATTTTCCCCCCTTCCTCCACAGCTGTGTATGCCTAAAGGGCTGTCTTTCAGAACACAAACTGACAATAAAGATCCTCAGTTCCACTCATTTATAATTACCCGTGAAGATGGTTCTCGTACCTACGGTTTTGTTCTCACTTTTTATGAAGAAGTTACAAGCAAGCAAATCTGCACAGCAATGCAGACGCTCTACCAGATGCACAATGCTGAGCAGTACAGCAGTGTGTATGCGTCATCCTCCTGCAGCATGGACTCGCTGGCAAGTAGTATTGATGAGGGAGATGCAACTTCTCTTTTGAAACTCCAGAGATACAACTCCTATGACATCAGCAGAGACACCCTGTATGTTTCAAAAAGTATATGCTTGATCACACCGCTGCCTTTCATGCAGGCCTGCAAGAAATTCCTCATCCAGCTTTATGAGGCAGTCACCTCACAGCAGCCTCCACCCTTGCCGCTTGAGAGCTACATCCATAATATTCTTTATGAGGTACCTCTTCCACCTCCAGGAAGATCACTGAAATTTTATGGTGTTTATGAACCTGTCATTTGCCAGAGGCCTGGGCCCAGTGAACTCCCTCTCTCGGATTACCCGCTTCGGGAGGCCTTCGAGCTCCTGGGATTAGAGAACCTGGTGCAGGTATTTACCTGTGTTCTTTTAGAGATGCAGATACTTCTCTACTCACAAGGTAGGTTTTCCCTGAGTTTTAAGTTTTCTAAAACCAAGCATTTTGCTCCTAGCAGCTGTATTTTTATGGGCTATATTGTTGTTGTTACATGCCATTGAGTTGATCAGAGGGTTTCTGAGGAGCATCTGGTGGTTTTCAACTGCCAACCTTGTAGTTAGCAGTCTAGTGCTTATCCTACAGCACCACATCAAGACTGTATTATTAGAACCAAATGATTAATGGTCAGAGTTCTTTTCTGCATAGAGTAAAAGGAGAAGGTGTGAGTGGGGTCTGTAGGCTGAGGCATTGCTTCTCTTTGAGGTAGCTTTGTCTGTAGAGAAAACAAGTAGGAATAGAAAAGTACTTGTTTAGCTGATTTGGTGTATTTATTTTTCTAATGGAGATCATCCCTCCTTTTCTGTAATAATACATAATCATCATAAACAAAACATGCTTCTAATGAAAGTGAGAATCACATTACTGCAGGAACATGTAGACATCTCATTCTTAACAGATTAGTAAAGCTTCATGTCAAAATTCTGCTGACATTGTTGTTGTTGTTGTTGTTATGTGCCATCGAGTCGTTTTCGACCCATAGCGACCCTGTATAGGGTTTCCGAGGGTGTAAATCTTTACGGGAGTAGAAAGCTTCATCTTTCTCCCGCGGTGCAGCTGGTAGTTTCGAACCGCTGACCTTAAGGTTCGCAGCCCGATTCGTAACCACTACGCTACTGCTGACATTAGAAAGTGGTAAATGAAATTGTTGACTGCAGCTTCCTGAGACACTCACCTTTGGATCTTTGCCTGTGTAAGCGTGGCATGTGAGTGAGAAAGGTATGCAGGTGTGAAACAGACAAGGCTTTCCTAGCTACTACCAGAGTTGTGAGGCTTTTCACTAGTTTTTGTTTTGTAATTCCAGAAGTAAGTTATCTTTGTGATATTTTTCATTGAGTTCTTGCAGCACTTCTTAAGAAACTAACAATATACAGTTGTATTTTACTGGTTCATTTATGATGACTAATGTCGCAGGACAAAAATGCCGTGTTTCTGTAGGGTAGGCACTAGACTGTGAACCACAAGGTTGGTAGTTCAAGCCCACTAGCTGCTTCGCAGGAGATATAAGTTGGCTGCTCCCGCAAAGATTTACAACCTCGGAAATCCTGTACAGGGTCACTATGAGTAGGAACTACAACAACAACAGTGTCCCAGGACTAATGTCATGAGTACCAATTCTAATCTGGTTAGGAATTTACTGAGGAAAAGGAGATACTATATGCTAGTGGATAGTGAATTAAAGGAAAATAAAACATGATACCTGTGCATTGATGGACTCTGTAAAAAATGTGTCCTGAATATTTGGGTTAGCATTTTGCCTATTTGTATTTAGGCTGACAGAATTGTAATGCAATCTCCTGACTACTGCTGTCAAGCTTATTTTACCACTTTTCTTTCTTTCTTTTTTTACCCCTTCCTATTTTGAATTATGAGACTGAGCCAAGTAGGCTATATTTGTACTTCCCCATCTTGTGTGTATGTTGACACTATTTGTGTGTTGACAGCCCTTCACGAGATTGTATTTTCTACAGTTTCTCCTACATAATGTGTTTTTTGATAATGTGTACCAGTGTCTCAATTTTTGTTGTCAGGAAATTAATTCTTAATGGCCAATCTAAATTATTTCCTTTCCTCATACTCTTACTTTCTTAGTTCCATCATTATCTGGGGATCACCCATTTGTATCTGAACAATTTAAGTAATGATCTCCTCTTTCTATTTCTTTCTTTTTTCTCAAAGGAGTGGGAGCAGAGGACTTCCTAGAAGAGGCAGAGACTTGGAACTTAATACCCTCAGTTTTACTAGCTTATTAGAACATTTTTTAGGATTCTAATTATACAAGGAATCTTAAACAGTATTTAGTTCTATTTTTTATGCTGCTTAGAGAAGCAGCTTTGGCTGTCTAAAATACCGGTTTAGAAATCATAACAATCCTGGGTTCAAATCTCTAGTCTATCACTTATTACCTGTAACCATAGGAGACTCACATAACCTTCCAAAGTTTCAGTTTTCTCATCTCTGCAGTCCTAGTAGTATGGCGCTGTAGAATAAATATTGGTCTACTCACCATAAGCTTAGTAATTCAAACCCACCAGCCACTTCTTGGAAACCCTACAGGGTCACTGTGCTTTGGAACCGATTTGACAGCACATAACAACAATGATGACAATAGGTAGGGGATAATAGAAGTCTTTGTGGTGTGAAGTTTGATAGTTCACACCCACCCAGAAGTTCCATAAAAGAAAGATATTGGTGTCTTCTCCCATGAAGATTTTAGCCTAGTGACTGTTACAAGTTATACTCTATTGCATTGGATCATATGAGTCAAATTTGACAACAGCACAAAAAAACAACAGCATAGATTGAACTGTGTCCCCCAAAATATGTGTTGTGAAGCTTCACCTCTGTGTTTGTGGTTATAATCCCATTTGGGCTTGGATTATCTTTATTATGAGACAGGATTCGTTGTAGGGTATATCTAGAGTCAATCTGTTTTGAGATATTTGTTGTTGTTGTTAGTGCTGTCAGGTTGGTTCCAACTCAGAGTGACCCTATGTAGATTCCAAGGAGCAAGTGATATGGTTAGCAGGCTAGTGCTTATCCTACCGTGCCATACCAGGACTCTTGTTTTGAGGTATAAAAGAGAGTAAATGCAAGGTAGCTAACCGAGAGAGGGAAAGGTAGATGCCAAGTGTCACATGAAGATCACCTATGAGGAGATGCTAAAATAACTTTAAGACTGTAGGGGGATAAGGACTTCCGGTATGGCACTGTGGATCAACACTGGACTGTGAACCACAAGGTCGGCAGTTCAAACCCACCAGCTGCTCCTCAGAAACCCTATACAGGGTCGCTATGAGTCAGAACCAACTTGATAGCACTTAACAACAACAACAACAACAAGGGATAAGAGGTGTTTTTTCCCCTCATTCATTTATTGTGAAGATTAAATAAGAAAGCCTGTACAGAAACATGGGATATAATTAGTACTGGCTAAATGATCATTTATGTTGCTTTTATTAGTTTTTCCTCATTTTGCATAATCCTTTATAAGTTATCCTTAACTTAGTTTGTGAATGTCTAATAGTCATTTCAAATATAACTGTATTAAGTCTAGGATCGAGAACCTAATATATGTCTTGCATAAAATGTGCTGTGTCTTTTTTTCTTAAGAGGAAAAATCCTACTACTACCATACTTCCTTTTTGTCAATTTTTCATAGTTAAATGGTTTATTAGGGAAGTTGACAGTTTACAGTGCAGTATCATTAATGCTCAAGGCAGTTACTCCAGTCAGGACAGCATCTTCTCAGTTATGCCCACAGGCAGGCCTCTCTCTGCATGAGCAATGTTACAAAGCTCTTTTAAGACTGCTGATAAATACTCACAGGGCACACCACTCCACTCTAAGCCTTAGCCTGAAGGCACTCAACTCTAGCTCGGATCACAATTCCTTTTAAAAAATAACACCACCATCTGCTCCTTGGAAATCCTATGCAGGGTTGCCATGAGTCAGAACCAATTCAATGGCATTTAACAACAAACAATATGAGGTTAAGTCAAAAAGTATTGTTACTACGGTTCCAGGTCACACATGCACTAGTGTATTCCAGATAAAGCAAGTTTAAGCTTATTTCTAGGATCAGATGTTGTTGTTAAATGCCGTGGAGTCGGTCCCGACCCATAGCGACCTTGTATAGGGTTTCCAAGGAGCAGCTGGTGAACTTAAACTGCCAACCCTGCAGTTGAAACCGACTTACTCAGGAGATTATGGTGATTTTTTTACAATCCGAAAAGGGTCATCTTAATAGATTATCTCAAAGGACACAGGACGATCATGGGGACTTAACTAGAAAAAAAGTTTCAAGAAAATTGAAAACTACACTGGTGAGAAAAGGGCCAAGAATTGTTTTCCATCTCATGACAGTACATCTGCTCATTCTTCTAGGGTAGCAAGGGCTGTAGTACAAGAATTTGATTGGGAAACCTTACCTATCCATCCTATAGCCTTGATCTTGCTTGCCCCTTCAGACAGGAAGACTTGAGTCTCTGGAGGATGCCAAATCTGCTGTTTTGATGTGGTCAAAGAGCACAGAATTCTTGAGGGAAGGGTTACAGAGATGGAAACACTGCCTTTAGAAGTACAAAGACCTAGATGGAGGATATTTTACAAAATATCTTCAGATGTTGGTGCTTTTGTTAAATAGACTTTGTAGCAATACACTTTTTTGTGTGGGGGTAGGAGTCCTGATGTGGCACTGTAGAATAAGCACTGCACTGCTAACCTCAAGGTCAGAGTTTAAAATCCACCAGCTGGTTCTTGTAAACCCTATACAGGCTCACTATGATTGTTCCACTGTTGTTGTTGTTAAGTGCTGTCGAGTCAATTATGACTCATAGCAACTCTGTAAAAGATTTACAAGGAGCAGCTGGTGGGTGGGTTTGAACTGCCGACCTCATGGTTCACAGTCCAGTGCTGATGCTGCAGTGCCACACCAGGATTGTTCCACCAGCAGATGAATATTGAGAGATTTGTCTCAAGTTCATTAATTCTGCCATTGTTGATTTGGCTCTATTCCTTTGCCCTTTCAATGTATTGTTTCTAAAGTCTTGATATTAATCCACTGGCTTTCTAATTACTGTCTTTGTGTAGTTACCAGTTTTTCATAATGTATGAAATAACATTATGATAAATGGAGAAAAGATTGAAGCTGCCAGAGACTTCATTTTGCTTGGATTCACCATCAACTCTCATGGAAGCAACGGTCAAGAAATCAGACGACGTATTGCATTAAGCAAATCTGCTGCACAAGACCTCATTAAAATGTTCAAGAGCAAAGATAACAGTTTGAGAACTAAAGTGTGCCTAACACAAGCCATGGTATTTTCAATAGTATCATATGCATGTGAAGTTGACTATGAATAAGAAAGACCATAGAAGAATTAATGCATTTATGTGATAGTGTT